CTAAATTTACTATCATATATAAAAATATATTTTATAATTTATATTTTATTATTAAAGTTATATAATTCTAATAATAATAAAAAATTTATATATTTAATATTATTACTTTATCTAAATTAAAAAAAGAATTTAAAATTAAATTAATTTTAAATAAAAGAATTATTTATAGTAAATCTTAATACTTAGTAAAATAGTTAAATTATTTATTTTATAATATTATTTAAGAATTCTTAAAAAATTTTTATAAAAATTTGTAATCTTTTAAATCTAAATATTATTAAAAATATTAATTCTTAAAAGAAAAAATATATAAATAAAATTATACTTAATTTATAAATTATTATTATATTATATATAATTTACTATATTATAATTATCTTATTTTTATCAAGAAAAACTATATAATATAATAAGTTATTTTAAAAATAAAAATATTTTTAGTAAAAATTCTTTTTATTCTTATTCTATTAATATAGCTAATATATTATTCTTTTTATTTTTATTATTTGTAATTATTTATTTTTTATATTTATTTATTAATAAATATCTTTTAGAAATATTATTATTTAAAAATTATATATTATTAATTTTTATATAATTATAATTTATTATTTAAAAATACTAGATCTATTTTATATTTTAATAATTATAATTATTATAAAATTTTAAGTTTATAATTAAAAATAATTTATTTATTTTTAACTTAACTTTTTGTATGAATCTCTTATTATATTTTTATTATTATCTTAACTTTCTTTATAAATTTCTTAATAATTTATATATAGACTAATACAAAAAGATTAATATATTAATATAAAAATTAATAAAAAATTTAATCAATCTTTATAATTTTTTTATATTAAGTAAAAAATAATCTAAATTAACTTTTTAATTATTCTATTATACTTTAATTTAAAGTATTATTTTATTAAAAAACTAAAATAAAATTATTTTTTTTTAAAAAAAAATATTTTAAATATTATTATTATTAATTTATAAGATTAAAACTTTATTTATAATTTTCTTGATTTATATTTTTTTTTATAATTTATTTCTTTTAAGATAATATTTATAAATATTGATATAGATCTTAAAATTTTTATCAATATTGAAGTTATAATCTAATTTCTCTTTCTTTATTTATTAATTAATTTAGTCTCTTTTAATCTAATATTATTAAGATAAATCTAAGTAAAAACTCACTTATCAGATTTATAATAATAGTATTAAAGTTTTAAAATAGTAAAAATAAAAAGGTATAATAATAAATAATTATTATTAATAAATTTATTTTAAATTTTATTTATTTTTAAAATAATTTTTATAATTAATATAACTAAATATAAAAATTTTATATTAAGAATTAATAATAATATTATTCAAAATAATTTTTTAAGTATTAATTTTATTTATAATATAAAAATAAATAAATTAATATAAATATAATATAAAAATATAAATATAATATAAAAAGAAAAATAAAAATAAATTTAATAAAAAAATAAAATAATTTATAAAAATAAGCATAAAATAGAAATCTAATATTAATATAATAATTAAATATAAATTTTAAAAATAAAAGAAATATAAAAATAAAATAAAAGAAAAATAATAAATATAATAATCAAATTTTTTTATAATTATTATACTTGAAAAAATAAAATTAAATAATTATAAAAAAATATAATTATAAAAAAATCTTTTAATTATAAATTAAAAAAAATAAAAAGTAATTATAAAAAAATATAATATTATTATAAAAAGATTTGATTATATATAAAGATTATAAAAATTATAAAAGTAATAATTTTCATTATTATTATAATAATATATTAATAATATATTATAATTTTATTTTTAGTATTTATTAAAATTATAAGTTTTAATATATAATATTTATAAAATATAACTAAATATATACTAATTTATATTATTAATTTTTTTAATAATTTATAAGATTATTAAATATTTTTATTATATATATTATTATAATAAAATAAAAATTTTTAGTAATTTATTATTTAAATAATTAATTTTTATATAATAATTTTATAAAATTTTAAATATAAAATTTATATTTAACTATTTTTAAAATTAATTATTTAATATAAAAATTAATTAAAAAATAATACTAATATTATTTAATAAATAATCTTAAAAAAAGATTTTATAATTTTTATTAAATTATAGTAAATTTAAAAAATTAATTTAGTATTATTAATTATAAATACTTAATAAATAAAAGTCTATAATTAATAATAATTTATATATATAAAATATAATAAAAATTAAAATAAAGTTAAGAATTTATATCTTGATATATATTTTTAACTTTATTTTAATATAAAAATAAAAATTATTTATTAAAAAATTTATATAATATAATATAGAGAAATTATTTCAATTTTTATTATATTTTATATATATAAATCCAAATTTTATTTATTAAATATATAATAATAATTATAATTAATTTAATACTTAAATTTTTTATTAATTATAATTAGTAAAATATATATTTTTTTATATATAAATAGTTTTAATTTTATTAACAAATATTTTTTATTTTTAATTTAAAAATAATTAATATTTTTTAGTTTAATATACAATATATTTTTTAATTTAATATATAATATATTTTTTATTAAAACTTATTTATATTATATATAAAAATAATTAATAATTAATTATTAATAAAAAAAGCTTTATATATATATAAACAAGTTTCCAGTAAAAAATTTGAAATATCTGAAAAAAATATATATTAAATTAGAAAACTTTAATTATTTTAATCTAAAAATAAAAAATATTTATTAATAAAATTAAAAACTTTTATATATAAGAAAAATATATATTTTACTAATTATTATTAATAAAAAATTTAAGCATATATTAATTATAATAAAAAATTTAAAACTTATTCATTAATTTTAAAGTAAAAATATAATATAAAAAAATTTATTTTGAAATTAATTACTAAATTATTTAATAAAATATATTTTATTTTACAAGACAAACTTGATAAGACAAAGATCAGGGGCAGAGACAATTTATTTGGCTTATCGAGATTTTTGTTTTACTAAATTTTGCACAAAGCTGAATTTATATATAATAAAAAATTTGGTAAACCAGAAAAACTTCGGCTTAATGCAATTTCGGCTTAGCGTGACTTCATCTTAACGAGTTTGTCATGTATTAATTATATTAAAAAAAATTAATTTTAATAATTATATAATTGTATTAGTTATATATTAGTAAGTTGATTTACATTTTAAAATATCTATTATATATAATTTATTATATAAATTAATTATATTAATAATAAAATACTTTAATTTATTTTATAATATATTATATATTAATTATATATATGAAAAATTATAAAGTTAGTTTTTTATTATTATGTTTATTATATTTATTATAAAAAGTATAAGATAACTTTGAATTTATTAATAAAACATAATAAAAATCAAAGATTTCTTTCTATATAAATTTTATATTTTTATTAATTAATAAATTTTATTTATGTAAAATAAAAATGATAATATATATTTTAACATATTATTTTATTATTTAAATTTAATAGAAAAATATTTCTATTACAAAAATAATTTATAATTAAAGTATAAATTCAATTATAGATTATTTTATAATAATTATGCAAATAGAAAATTATTCAGATTAAAATCTAAAATATATATTAAATTATTAAGTTATAATCTTTAGTTTACACAAATAAAAATTTTAATATTGAAAGAAAGTTTTAATTTTACTTTGTTTTATTAGTAAATTCTCAGAATAATGCAATTTTTATAATTATCCAATTATAATTAAAATATAATCGCATCTCTCTATAGTTATCCAAGTTTCAAGCTAGAGAGATTTGACTATATATTTTAGTAAAAAGATATTAAATTTAGAAACTTAAAACAAATGTAATTTTATAAATTAATTTTTAAATTTTATAATTTATATTTACTCTTAGATTTTTATTTAAAATAGCAATAATAAATCAAATAAATTAAGAAATAAATCTCGTAAACCAGAAATTTTGAATAATTTATTTAGTAAGCTCGGAGATTTACTATAACTGTTCCTAAAATCAATTTTAATGTTTTCAATATGTAACGTGACATACATGTATTATCCTAGCGTAACCAACAAAAAATTAGAACATGTGGATAGCAACCATAATTTTTCCCAACATTCAATAATAATGCATAAATTTTTGATCAACCGATTTCTAATAGTCAATAAAATTTCCAGGTCATGTGTTTATAATACATGTTCTGTTTGGTGTATAAATTGATGCAGATCTTTGGTGTTAACCAGCCAATCATACCGTAATTTGTCATCCTCTCTTTTAAACCTGCTTGGAAATTGATTCAGACCTGCAGTGATCTTTTGTATGGGTGAGGGTGTATTAAACGGAGGAAAATTATAGGTTTGACCAGAATTATGTTATAATTTACCAAATTTATTAATTTATTCCTATGTCTTAGATCCGGATACAAATTATGAGAGTCGACTATGATAGGGAGTGGTTTATGCGGCAAATTACATCAGTTGATCTAGTGTCGAACATAATTAATGCTTTTGTAGATTCTGATTAATACTTATAACAGTGCCACCTAATTCGATTCGACTAGAATAAAATCTTCGTTCAATTTGCATGACAACATAACATAGTTCTAGTCTGTATAACAAATTTCTATTTAATTTAAGGTATAAGAATTCAAGTAGATAATCGGATGCAATTCTTATTTTCTTAATTTTTAAGAGAATTTGCAATATAATTTCGTATTAAGAAATCATCAAGTGAAGAAATCTATTATATTTGTACATAATTGCAAGAACATGCGTCTATTAAAGCTCAAACAAAACGTGTGATTAAATGATTATTTGTAATTTCAATAAAATCTTATTCGCGCGCACAAGAAATAAAAGTAAGAAAATTATAAATAGAGAAAGATGTGTTGCTTAGTGATAAAATGAAATAATTAAAAGGATATTGATTTATAACGAGATGCTCTACGATACCACTTAAGTTTCTGATGAATATCTTTTTCCGTACCGAATCCATTGTTATAATATTCAGCTACTGTTAATTTTGAATCGCAGGATTCGAAACCATTGAAACTCGCTGCTTTGAGATACCAATAGAAGGCTTTTCGTGTATTACAAACGGTGCCGCAACCCCTTTCATAACACTCAGCGACTTCGTTAATTGCTTTTTCATGACCACGACTCGCTGCTATTTTGTACCAACTAAATGCTTTCTCGTAATTAGATGGTATTCCAGTACCATGGTAGTAAAAATTACCGAGAAAATATTGGGCTTTTAGATGATTTTTTGAAGCAGCTTTTAACATCCACTCGAATGCTTTTTCTTGATTATGTTCAATGTTGTCAGTACATCTTACGCAAATAAGAGAAGCGAGGAGGAATTGGCTATGTGGATGATTTTGGGTTGCTGAAAGTTTATACCAATGAAATGCCCTATTGAAATCATGTTGATCTTGAAACCATTGGCCTATCATGCATTGAGATAATGGGTCATGGAGTTTTGCAGCTATGTCGAACCAGCGTAAAGCAGATATTTCATTTCGCGGAGTTCCAATGCCAAAACTATAAAAGATTCCAAGTAATGAAGGTGTCCTTATTTTTTCTATATTTGAACAAACAAGCTTAAATATATTCGTGGCGTCAAATCTGTTTTCTTCAAGCCAAGTGTTAATGAGCGCGGCGAGTTGGTCGTCGTCAACAAGCTGTTGGTTTAATAAATCAAATTTTGTAATTAATTCATGCAATATTTGATTTGATTCGTCATTATGAATCTCAGGATCCAACATTTCGCAAGAATCCATTGTGCTTATGTTGTATGAACTTGCGAGAAATATGGAAACAGCTTTAATAACTTAGACTCGAAGAAAATAATTACGATGGGTTTGATACACTCATTTTTACAGATGCGTGGGTTATTGATATACAAAGAAGCTCGCATTTTGCGCCACAAGTTTGACAGCTGCACAATGAAGTGAAAAATGCGTAATATTGGTATGTTTCACAATTAATACCACATTCAAACATTTACAAAGATTATCCTTATTCTCGCCGAATATGTTTATTTCAATTTTACTTACTTTTTCTGTTCGCAATTCTATTTCCATAACAGGACAAGGCGCAATTTTTTTTGTTATTGACGATCGAAAGAGATAATAAAAAATAAAAGATGCCATAGTATTAAATATTACTGCATAAAAACGAATCAGGAATACATGTATCAGGTATTCCTTGTAAAAATGCATCATTTCAAATATGCATTTTAGAGATACAGGGTCTTGTGATCATTTAACAGAAAAAGGGATAATTTCTCTTTGTCAACAATTTCACTTATCGTTATTATTATGGATAAATTGATACAATTTCTTAAATTAGAAATCTTTCTAAAATTGCAGTAAATCTCGTTTTTTCGAACTCACCTGGAATCATTCTAGAGTATGCAGATAAGAAAAAATCTAAATTTCAGAACGTATGAAAACACTTTACAACCGGAAAATCGGTATTGTCTTACATGAAAATATGCATAAACATAGAAGCAGAAACATTTGAAAGAACATTAAATGGTTTTTTTTTACCGTATCATTTATATTAAATCAAATTCTTTTGGAAAAATATAATTGTGAAACATTTTCACGAGATGAAACAAGTCCCGGTTTTCCTGTTAGTATCCAAAAATCAAAGATTTTTTAAAAAAATTGATAACTTAATAATCCCCACTGTAAATAAAATTGATTATTTTCCGATGGAGCATCTATTACATAATATTTAATGAGTGAGCTTGTGGTTATAGCGTTTTGACTGAAATCAATTTGTAGAATATATTTATTTTCACCTTTTCATGCAAGTTTGCTAAGTTATTCACGTTCAACGTTCTGTATTTTTGTATAATGCAACACGTGATTTTAAATACTTTTTGCTTTCTCATGCATACAATATACTTTGCATATATACAATGCCAAATTAAAGTAACAACAAAGAGTACTTCTTATCTGATTTTTAAAGCCATGGTTTTTGTACATGCACGTGTATGTAGTTTAAAGAAAAAGAAATTAATTTTTTATTCATAATATTATGCGATTAGTCCGCTGATAATCGATAACAAACAAATAGATTTATGTTAACCTACTATACATTTTATACTAGTTTTCAAATTTTTTTGCACATATATTCGGCTTAATCAAATTCGGTTAGTCAACTCAGAAAAAATTTTTATTAAAAAAAAAAAAACATTCTAAATGGTTAGAGCAGACATTTATTGTTTATAATCAAGTATTTTTTATTACATAATCAATAAAAATTGCATAACAAATAAAAACAATTAAGGCAAGAGAGAATGATAAAATGATTCATAGAGCTCTATCAATATCACCTCATCTTTCGCCAACAGTTCACGCGTATTAAAAATTTCCATTATTCGCAATCAAACTATTTTCATCCGTAGAATTCTATTATCTGTAAGAGAAGAAGCCAATATCATTGACAAAAATAGAAACATGTTTTTGTCAGTTTTATATTTATATTGTAAATTGATACAGTATATATTATTTATATTGTAAATTGATACAGTATATATTGTGAATAAATTAACTTTTCGAATTAGTAAGTCGTTTTTTGGATGCTCTTTCCCAGATAAAAGGCCTGATTACGCGTAAAAAAACCTGTAGAGACTTAAAACGTTTTAAAAATCAAGGATTAATTGTCATTGTTTATATTGGTTTCCTATATTTTGAAAGAAATCAACGGATCACGTCTAAATATCTCCGCAAATAAGTCACCCCTTTTTATGAAAAAATTTAGGCTTGGAAAACTTGGCAAAGGCGGTAACTTAGTTTTCGAGGTTAAATTTGCTAAGTTTGTTTACATATACATGTACTTTTGCACCCAATTTTGGGCTGAAAAATGGGAAGTATCATAAAATACTGTCATGTGTAGAAAGATATTCCCCAAATTCGGTTTAGTGCTCCCCACAGATAGGAGATCGGTTAAAGCGTAGTCCACCATGTGATCTATGTTCAATAGAAGCGAAAGTAGAGATTTCGTGATCACTAGGGATGCTAACGACTCGACCGACTCGTAAAAAAAGTCGACTATTTTTTAGAGTCAGTCGATTTGAGTCGATCATATTAAGTTTTTATGTAATTATTAATATCGTCTATTACATGTACATGTACATGTATTATTGGGGCATTTCACGCACTAATTATGTAAGGTATAATAATAATGCAACTGCTGTTAGATTTTATGCATAAAATTGATCGGCGTCGTTACTAGTAATTTATTAGTAAAGATTAGTGTTCAACAAATTGAACACAAGTCGTGTACTAACGATTTTTTTCTAGCAATTTTTTGTGGCAAACAATTAATGTAGTGTAGTCAAAAGAAGTTACAGTTTAAAATTTTTAATTAATTAATCATTTAGTGATATTACATTAACGAGAATTTCTTCTTTTGTTTGATTATATAGATTTTAGCTAAAAAAAATGAACGTAAAACTGAAAATCTAAAACTGTAACATTGACAAAACGTCTTTTGTTTTATTATATGTCGAATTTTATTGTAACCTTCGAGATAGTTTTAACACTACGTCTTTTTAAATCTCGTTTTTGTTATCGTTAATTAGGTTAAACTAAAAAAATGAGCGTTTGTTCGACTGGCTTTTGTTTTGATTTTCTTTTGTAATAAAAAACTTAAAAACATAACAAAAATAATTTCAATAAATAAATGTATTCTAATTTTAAAACTGAATCTTTTAATTTCGAAAAATGCCTCCTTCAAACGCAAATTGCAATTAAAAAATGCATTTGAATCACTTGCCAAGAAGCGTGATATAAATTTGCGCGAAAAACTTGTTAAAGAAATAACCAGCCATTTAAAAAAAACCATTATTCAAGAACTTAAAATAATACACGATATGATCTTTAATGCCTCGCATACCATTATATTAAATTCTCCTGCATATAATTCGATAATTAATACTCTTAAAGACATGTCTGAAGCAGATATCAAATCAGCATCTCATCTTCTACGTACGATGAGGTATTCTCACGGAAAAAAAAAGATCAAGTTGTTTCGCCCTACATTCAAAAAAAAGCATTTCAATATATATCTGACTCCCTTTATAAACCTGGGAAATCGTTAGACACGTTAAGTCGTCATAACAAACAACTTGTACAGAATCTTCAAAAATTACAACGGTCTAAGGACCGTGTGACTCATAAAACTCGAAAACTTAATGGCTCGATTGCACAATTTAAACACAAACATAATCAACATATTTCTCGAATTCATGCAATAGCCAGGCGTCCACCAGGCAATGACATTAAAACCGCGATCAAAATCTTGTTAAAAAAATAAAAATGAATATAACACAGAATTTGTTAAACTTACTACGCGGATTTCTCAAATTGGCCAGATGTCTTTTACTACTGCGGCAGCTAGTTTTTAATTTTTTAACGGGAGATAATAAACAATCTTGGATGTCTGCAGCAACCATTAGTCGTTGGCATCGCGAGGTATCAGAGTTACAGTGAGAAACATATTTCAACCAACCAATCAATCGGTTCATTTTGCATTCGGAATCATGACAGATGAATCTGGTCGGGGTGAAAAAAAATATTAGTAAATTGTTTTATGTTTTGGAATTCAGAAAAGAATATACCCGATGTTTTACTTCTAGAGACAAAAGATCTTCAACGCTGCAATTCCGATACAGTTAATCAGGCTCTAATTAAAACTTGTACAAAATATAATCTCGATACTACGCGATGCCTTACCTTTCTTTCAGATAACACAAACTACATGTCAGTGGTGCTGTAACCAAATTTAATCGATTGGCTCAAAGTAATTGCGACCGAATCCCTTGTGGATTGCATGTGTTACATTTAATTTTAAATAATTTTGAGGAAACGGCTTTCGGTAAACTTTCCGCAAGTACTGGGTTTTCGAAGACACGACATCCGTTTAATCTTCTTTATTTGGCATGGATGCTGCACGATGGATACGAACAAAGTGATAAAGATTCGCCACTTAATATGAGAAGTGAGATGATTCAGAGCCTTTATAAAACACGCCTTAATTATCAGTTGACTAAATATCGACATCCCCTAAAATCACGATGGCAATATGAATTAATTGCGGCGGAACAATACCTCGAAAGGCGTGAGATTCATATCGAATTTGTTGTATGGTTTCTTCCAAAACTGAAGGCTCTAAAAAGTCCCAAGTTCCTATATTCAAAAATGGGTACAATTTCAGAATTTATTAAATGATTCCGAGTTGAACATTGAAATACAGTGCATAGTTAAATTTGGCCAAAGATTTTACCGTCAATTTCTCATTGGTTATGATCCCCAACTGATAGTTATACAGTCAGATAATTCACTACAATGCTTACCATCCGGTCGTCGGGCACAGCATTGCAGTATAGGACTAGATGAATTTAAAAGCGGTCTTAATATATTGTTCATTCTTTACCTCATCTATAAAAGTTGAGTAATTTGCTTTGAATTGTGTAATGTTTTCAACACAACATCTATCTATTTTTATTTCGCTTCCATGGTCCATAAAACCAGGTTTACTTCATAAATTGTCCCAAAATCTCCTCTTGCAAGATATTTAACGTTGGTAATCATTCGACATCAAATGTCAGATTTTATTGTTAATTCGACATGTAAGCTCGAAAGTATCTTGAAAAATCTTTATTCATTTTTCAGCGGTGAACTTCTGCGGAGTACAGCAATTATGGATGATTCAAAAATTAAATTATTAGTCAAAAAATTAGAACGAGGAATACAAAAAGAATTTGAATTGCATCAAAAATGGTTAAATTGTTGGCTTCATCTTCCCTTACGCATGTGTCGTCTTGGTGGAAATAATGCCCAACAATTTGCACGTAGTTATTGGCATATAGTACTTAAAAAGCCTTGGCCGAAAATTCCTAGTCTAAAAGAACTTTGCTATGCAAAGCATCTTGAAACCGACGTTATTGAAGAAAATTTCGGTCCTAAGGATGCATTAACTAATGAAATGTTTTTGCAAGAATTCAGTTCATTCGTTAGTGAATCAACTGCCTCATTTCACCAATTCCTACTGCTATACGACTTCGTTAAAAACAAAATTTGGTACATTATTGTTCACCAGCAGCAAATCGAGGGCCTATTCAATAAGTGGGACTTAAAAACTCACCCGAACATGACCAATTCTACCCAACAAGCTAAAATGCGTCTTGCTGTAACAAAAATAGATGAAATTCAAGTAACTGGTGAACAATTGAGAGATATTCGAAAAGAAAACAGAATAGCTTACAAACCACAAGATTCCGCTTCATTAATCCAGTCAGACGGGCAACGAGAGCAAGAGGCAGATAATCTGTTTAAAAAATTATTTATAAGTCGACTTAAAACAATATAGAAGCAAATTACCTATCACGTTATACATGTACACAGATCTTATATTCTATTGGCCAAATAATATAGTCAGGATCTACATGAGTGTATAAATTTCAAACAATTCATAAAAAATCTGTACTATAGATTTTTATTATTATACCTTTGATTAATTAGTGCGTGAAATACCCCCCCCCCCAATGTATTATGTTCATCATTTATTAATACTATTGTATCGTGTGATTATTGCATCGCGTAGTTATATATTAAAAGATAAAAATATGCGTAATTTTATGATATAACTCTGATTTCATGCAGATCGACTTTGAGTCGACTATGACTCATAGTCGGTAAAAGTCATCCCTAGTGATCACACACCAATAAGGGTGCGCGAATTTTTGATCAACCCGCCGGCCCAAGAAAATGAAAAAGACAAAAATTCGAAAAATACAGAAAACAGACATCAAAATCTAGCTTGAAGCACTATTTGAATTGTCGGGAAGACAATTTTACATATAGCCTTTTACATATAGCCTTTTTTCGAGTTCTTTCTTACTCCTAACCCTAATGATTAAAATCACCTTTTAATAGTTGCCGACTCACATGTGTCCAGGAAACGAGCAAAGATTACACTATCGCCAATAGGGGTGTTAAATATTGATCAACTCGACAAGATATGAAAAATGAATATTACAAGAAAACCAATAGGCTTAAATCTGTCTTGAAATACTAATTATAAATGTCTGGATGACAATTTTTACATATAATTTTGTTTTCTAATCTATAATATTTATCTTGATGAAATATACTTTAACCAATCTTTCAGATATGCAATTAATATCAATTTTGATATGATAAGACATAATTATTATTTTATGATAAAGTCATTTAACATAAAAAAAATGAATATTTGTTGATAAAAGTTAAAAACTTTTTTTATGAAATATCAATCAATTTATTGATACTATTTATATAAAATAGCTATTATTTTAAAAAATTATAATTATAATATAATATGGTCCATTGCAAAAAGATTGATATATTAGATAAATATTAATAGATTATTTTTTCAAAAAAAGTTTAATTCTGTCTCATTTAATTAAGTTATTAGGATTGGGATTTATTTAAATATAAAAATTTTTATTATATATCTTTTATAAAAAAACTTTTACTAATAATAAACTTTTTGAGTTATTATTTCTTAAATTTTACTATATAAAATTTGATTAAAATTAATAAATAATTTAATTACTAAATTTTGAAGCTTAATATCTTTATAATTACTAATTCAATTTTTATGAAATTTACAATATATATTTATCAAATCTAGGACAATCTGTTGCATAATTTGAAGTTCTAATATTATAAATTAATTATTTAAAATATCTTTTTTTAAAAAATAATTTTATTTTAGTAAAGTAATACTTCATTTATTATTAAATTAAAATATAATAAAATAATTAAAATAATATAAAAAGTAAATTAAGATTATTATTTTTATTTAATATAAAAAAATTATAAAAATTAGTTAAAACTTGAATAATTTTTATTTGAAGTAATTATTAATTTTTATATTAATATATCAATTTTTTGTAATAGTTCATATTATAATTAATATTATAAATATCTTAGTATTTAATAATTTTAATATTATTAATTAATAAATTAAATAATATCAAAATTATTAAATACAAATTATTATATATTAAAATATTTTATAATAAATAATAATAAATATTTTAATATTTAATAATATAAATTAAATAAATTTAATATTATTTAATTTCTTTAATTAAATATTATAATTTAATTATTATATATTAAGATATTTATTAATTTATAAAATAATATAAATAAAAATTTTAATTAATTATAATTATATTATAATAAATTTTAATTTTTAAATTATATTAAAATTATATTATAATTATATTATAATTTATTTTAATTAAGATAAAATATATAATAAAATAACAAATCAAAAATATTTGAGCATTTATAATTTTTTAAATTAAAAATTAATTATCTTAAATTTTTAGTATAGATATTATAATATTTATAAATTTTTATAAATATATAATTATTATAATAAAATTTAAATAAAAGTTAAATCTTAATATTAATTTTTTATATAAATAATTAAATATAATAAAAAAATAAAAAATAATTATATTAATAATTCTAAAATTAAATTTTTAGAATTTTATATATTAAAATTTTAAGTATATTTATATTAATAATAAAAAATTTAATATAATTTATTATATAGTAATAACCAAAAATAAAGACTCAAAGGCTAAATTTATTAATAAAATATAGTAAAAATTGAAATTTTCTCTTTATATTAAAATTTATAATTTTAATAAGAAATAATTTTTATTTT